GCCCATGTGCGACAGCTTTTGCTATACACAACAAAGAGACTGTTAATGTGGGAGTGCTTGACAATGAAATTGCAGGCTGCAGTCAGCTTGCTGGGGCTGGTGAGGCTTCCTGAATTCTTGTGGCTGCACACAGACACTTCTGAATGGCCCTGAAGACTTGTGTGACACTTGTGTCATTTCCCTTTGGTGAATTTGCATAGCAGCATACTAAGAGTTGGACTTGGTGATCCTTGCGGGGTCTTGCCATCTTGAGATATTCTATGATTCTCTCCCCTCGGTTTTCTGAGATGTGGGATAAATCTTATTGAGACAATTAGAAAGAGTGGTTACTTCTACTCTTCAGGTCTCCGTTGTATTTAAGACAGCATAATAAGGGTACAGAAGAAAAAATATATATTATAATATGAATTTTTTTTCAAATATATTTTAATTATTTCAACCGTATTTGCCTAATGACACATGGTGCACTTTTTTTCAAGCTTTGCTTACTGCCTTATTTTATCAGGAATTCGACATTTGGGCTGTAGGCTACACAATCCATAAGTGCAACAGCAGGACCCTTGCCTTGAAACACACCACACAAGTGTTTTTTGCAGGGTGTTGTTTATTAAACACAACCCAATGGCCTCAGGTCACCTCTGTTCTGCAAGCTTGTATATTTCTTCACGTACTTGACTCGCTGATTTTGAGTGGTAATTTCCTCACAACATTTCAGATGTCTATATGAAGTTTGATCAAATTTCCATGGTTTACAGACTCTATGGACACTTTTGACACTTTTGACATGTTTGTGGCACTGCCATCTGCAACAATTTGTTTCTGCCTTTTCTTTTAAAATCTATTTATATGTTAATTATCATAGCACATGGCAGTTCTGAGCATGATATAAGGTGCCACTTTATTTGAATATAGGAACAGTCCATAAAATTTACAATGAAGTATGAGGGTCAAGGCAACAAAAAAATAAAGGTAGACAGAGCCACAGGGTGGTACTGTGTCATCACTGGCCCAAGCAAAACTCTTGCTGGCTGTTATCACACATCCTCACTATTCAGTGAGTCAGCTGAGACTTGGACATCTCCTGAGCACTAACAGAAAGGATAAATATATGGGTAAGTCCACGGTTAATAGTTAGCAGTGAAATCTGAGCATCCGTCAGGGAATGCTGCTCTCAAGTGTTATGAAATGATAATGTAACCTCAAGTCCAAAGATTAGTTAAGAAGAGCAGAATGAGTCTTCATAAAATGGGAGCATAGACTTGCAAGTCTTGAGTGTTGGTCTGTTCCTTTACTTGCAGCCGTTACTGCACAATAGCGAATCACACCTAAATCAGCTTTCCTCTGATTAAAACTTTACTCAGTTTTACAGCCCCCTTGTGTAAATTTTGTTAAGCCAGGAGTGGGACAGGCTCGAGAGTGCTGTATAAAGGGGATGGTTCAGTAGATGGCACTCTGCCTCTGAGTCAAGATGAGCAAATTCCTCAGCTTTAATTCAGATTTAATGCAGGGAGAGCAACTTCCTTTATACACTACAGAAATTATAATGAATTCAAACAAAGCGCTGCCTAATGAAGAGACCCCTGGCAGTTTTTCACAAAACTTGATCTCTCGAGTCCTGGCATCAGGTTCCCTCCCTGTTTAAATTATTATAGTCACTTTCTGTTTAATCTGAATTTCTTCTGAAATCTTAACAGTGAATATCTATGTATGCACATATATATATATTATTTATTTCTTTTTAAGAGCTTAGTAGTAATGTAATTTACACATCAGAATCTGGGTTTAGAACTGTTTTGCTTGCTCGGCTATTTTTTCCTAATTCATTATTTTCTTTTGCTATTTTGTCAATGGTAAATCCAGTTCACGAACTTAATACCTGTGGTTTGTTGGTAGGTTTTGTTTTGTGTTATTTTGGAGCCACAACATTTCACATATCCATTTTTTCCTAGCAGTTGCACTGAGTTAGTACAAGTGAGGAGACCTTAACCTCAAGTACAGAGACAATAAAGACCTGCTAGGCACTAGGGGAGCCATGACCTTTTAAATCAAAATCAAGCCAAGATCTTACAGCTTTTCTGAATTGTACAGTGTTTTCCACAATCCCAGACAGAAGGGAGAAAGAAGAGTGAAAGAAACATGTACAAGACAAAGATTGCAATAAAAAATTATCTGGGCTAAATTCATAAAATTCAAAATTAGTTAGCTGAAATTTTAAAGTTTTGTATTCTTGAGTATTGTAAGTATATTCTTTCAATTTGCTGCTTTTTAAGCACTCCTCTCTTATCTATTTTCTGTCTAGTAACTGTATCTGTTAGCTATTTTCTTATTTGACTAGCACACTTTTCTCCATCCTTGCTTCGCTCCTAAGCTCCCTCAAAATCCTTTTTCCACAGATAGATTAAAATCACAGTGAAGTGGTAACAGTATTTCTAACATTTGGAGCCTGGACTGTCATTTTCTTCCTTTAAGAGGAGAGCATTTGCTAGCATAGCTCAAATAAAGGTGTTGGTCCCTGTTTTTTCCAGTATTCGTGTCAGTCTGAGGATTGTTTGGGCCTGTTAAAATGAAGAAGTGCTGTGTAATGTTTGAAAGAAGAGTACAAAAAAGTATTTGCATACATCCCCCCAGTGAGAGTCATTTTTGAGCTACTGAAGGTGCACCATTGGAAACTAGATAAAGGAATTCCCATTACCAGAAGTGTTTCAGGCAGTGAAATGAGTGCATTCTGCATGAGTGAAATGCTTGATGAGTTTAGTGATGGATAAATGTGGTTTTAGATTTTTCTTTCATAATTCAAAAGAAAACTGACCTGCCAGGGATATCGGATATCAGATGCTTAAGGGACTGTGCCCAAAACCAGTGTTTTCTGTTCCCTGCAGTGTAACTGCACATCGGGTAAAATGTTGGCCCAATGGAAGCACTCTGTTGAAAGTGCCATTTAGTTACAGCATCCATCTATTGTTCGTCAAACAAATTAAACCTTCCAAATGTAGTTTATACAGAATTCCAACCAGTCTTCAAACAGTCAGGTTGCTGACCAAAAGCCTCTTTTGCTCACGAGTGAATGGAGGTGGGTTGGAGAGACTTGTTTTTAGCAATTCACAAAAGGATATAGATATATATTTTTTTTCCCTTTGGAAAAAGAATCAGGAGGCGGGCTGTGGGGCTTCTACTACTTAGAACACGTTTTTTACATGAGTAAAACCAAAAAGGTTAAACGCTGCTGTGGCACTACTAATTTTTCCCTTCTACTTCTGCAGTCTTGAGCTGACATTTGTTCAATCAGATAAAGAATCACATCTAGGTCATGCAACTGATCAAAAACATTAGGGTTCTGATTGCAACCTGAGCGTGTACAACAGCCACTGTGATTTTAAAGGAGGCTTGCAGGCTCGCAAACTAGCCTCCTAAACTTGCTTTCAAGTAGTGGTTTCAAACCAAAGACAATTTCATGACTGAATCATCAGACTAAGTATTGGTGTACCCGAGTTTTATGCCTTTAGGCAAATTGTAGCTTAATTTTCAGGTCTGTTGAGTTCCTTTAACTCCCATTAATTTTAAATGGAGTTACAAGAGCTCAGCTGCTCTGAAACTTATTCTTAAACCTTTTTATGACTATCTTCCCTACAGACACATTGGAAAGCTGTTTTAAGGTTTGTAATGCATTTTGAAATGCTCAGTAAGGATATATTACAGAAATGCAGCCATTGCTAACAAGTGTCTTGTTAAGGCACTCCTACATTTTTCTCATCTCAGAGCAGTACAGTTCAAGTTACCTGAAAATAACTCGTAACAATTCAACCACACTGCTCTGTAGACAGGACAGAGCAAGAGACAGAAGGCATCTGTGTTGGGTTCCCAGGGATCTGCCACCTCACTGCTTTTAGGATGGAAGCCCAGGGGTGAACAATCACAAGCAGAGGCTGAAAAGCAAGTGCTGGCAGAAGGGGAACCTAAAAATCACACAGGTTCCCCACAGTTTAGAAGGTTCCCTCTAAAAGAGTCCAGAAGACCTGCTGTGATAATAGGCACATTAGCCTGGCTGTTTAGGTTTAAGAAGCAGGACAGGGATCAGAAGTCAGTGGGCTTGCAAAGCTGGTCAAGGAAGTAGCCAGAAGAATCAAAGTCTTGATTCTTTGTAAGGGATTGCACATCAGAGAGAGGTCTCACACCTGCTGGGTTATGGGGATAGGTGGGCTTAGCTGTGCCCTGTAGGGTTTGTATTTAGGGGAACTACATCCTGGGTAAGTGACAGAAGAACCAGCAGGAAGCAGGCAGACCCATAAGGTATGGGTGGGCTGCTCACTACTGTCTGGAGAAGGGGGTAGAGCAAGAGGTAGGATTTTCAAACATGAGTTATTTAGAAACTTCAGATCCACTAAAGAACAACCAGACTAAAACTTCCCACTAAGTGTACTACTGGATGCAACGGTTAGAATAAATCTATGGATAAAGAGAAGTTAATAAAAGTGATCAACATTCATCAGACCAACACCTGCTGGTTTCCCAATGCAGGGAATCTTGAATCAAACCAGATTTCACTCAAAAACTTCAAGAATGTTACAGATCAATTAGGGCATCCATAAAACTGTTCAACCAGGGGTGGGCACATGCAGCAGACTGGTGAAGTACACAAACGACTGGGGTAAGAGGAGAACAGCTCCTTTTTCTTTTTGCTTCCTTTTTCTGCACAAAAAGTTGCAGATGACTTTTACAGGAACATCATCCCATCGTCGACTTTCCCGGCCCGCTCTGGAGGATTTGCTCAGCAGGAGAAAAACATCGCTCTAAATTCACTTGGCCACTGTATTTTTAATTTCCACCCTTGCTGATTTGCAGTCTCACCCGACTGAGTTGGGAGCTGTTTGCCCAACGGGGCTTTTGTTCTGGCCTACCCCAAACTGGAAAAACCTGTTAGCGTGCAAGCTTTCTTTTTTTTTTTTTTTTTTTTTTTAATTGTTGGTTGGTTTTGATCTTCCTCTCCCATTGGCAGCCCTGCTTGTACACATGCAGACAAGGTGGTGCCTCCTTTCATGTGCAAGGCTGCCCTGCGGAGTCTGAAGGTGGTTTTGTCATTACCCCACAGCCTTTCCAGCCTCACGAAGGCTCTGGTGGATACTCCAGGAGTTAAACTCTGCTTGTTCTCCGCAGAATGAGTTTAGGGCATTATTTTACTTCTCTTCAAGCAAAGGGAGGGTGTTTGAGTATGGCTCAGGTCCGGCCTTTGCAATAACATCTCATGCAGAAGCTTGTCTCCTGCACGTGGTGTCGGGTTGACATCTGTAACACCAAACAGCAAGTTAGTGCCGTGGCGGAGCTGGGAAGAAACTTGTTATCCCATCCCTTTCCTTCTCATCTTGCTTTGGATCGAGAATGGGTCAACTGTGTGGACGGTGCATGCAGCTGCTGCGCGACTTCGTGGCCTTTGTTCAGAGGATGTCCTCGGACCTGCTGCACAGCATTAAGGAGTGCTTAACCCTGATAATCAAATGCTCCTGCCTGAAGCAGGGCAGCTCCAAAGCCAGGCAGCTGTACAAGCCCGTCCTGCAGCCCCACGAGCGGGTGACAGCACAGGAGTTTCTGCAGCACATCGAAAGAGGTAGGAGCACGTGTTGTTTGAAGGGGTTGTGAAAGGGCAAGGAGATGCTTTTGGGGGGTTGAAAACAGGTGGGGCATAGAGCAGCTTGGTGGTGTAGGAAAGGACAGAGCTACAGAGCGCTGTGTGCATGGGACACCTGGAGCTGGAGCGCACAGCAGTTGGTCTGGGTACAAATGGTCAGCCCCTTTCTGCGGTGCCACCACTGCTAAAACATAATTTGTGCAAATATTTTTCTTATAAGCAAGTCCTTCTGGTAAATATAGTTAACTTTGTGAGTCCAGTCAAAGCTGGAAAGAGTCTGCACAGCACTGCAGGAGCCCCAAGCTGTTTGAGGCAAACTACGGCGTGGTTCTGGCTGCGGTGTGCACATCCATCCCTGCGCTGCCTGCAGCACAGCTGGGGTTGTGCTGAGGGTGCCTGCGTTGTACATGGGGAAGGTCAAAGTCACCCTGGGACAAGTGCCATGGGGCTCCCAGGGCTTCTCAGGCTGCAAGAAACTGGTCTGCAGTAAGTGCTTTTGTGGAAATGTTCAGACACAAGTCTTGAACACCATCACAGGATTCTGCTTGAATCACAGTAGATCCCATAACTCCTAAAAAACCTCCTCTGCTTTACATGTTAACTCTAATCCCCCCCCTTATCTTCCTTGGCTATCCTCTCTATCCTGTCCTGATATACAATGTATTAACAGGAAAGCTTTTTTATTATTATTTCATTCCTACAGTCACAGAATGTCTTCTTGGATGAATTCATTTTGTTGGCTGTCCAGCCTAAAATCATTTCTTGTCTCACACTTGAAGGAGGTGCAGTTGCCTGTTTGTGCTTTGTCTCACAGCCACTCACACGTATTGTGTTAAGCTTAACAACACTGGGCTAAAGCTAATAGACAAAATTGCAGGGCCTTCTACTCTCATTTGCGTGAAGGGTGCAGGACACCACAAACTACTATTTCTTTACTGGCCTTTTTGACGTAAAACCATCTTGTGAGGTGGACCAAGAGAGACGTTTACCCTTGGTGTGACACAGTTAATGCTGTTTGGAACGATCTGTCATGGGACAACCTCTGGCATGGCCGTTGTGGTGCTGATTGTTTGGAACATGCCTGGGTCAGCCTCAGCCGGTGTCCTTACTCTGTGGGTGCCGGGGTCCCCGTGCTGCTGATGTGTTTCACTAACTGTTGCCTATCAAGCACTGGCTAAATCCAGAAGTCCGTATCCAGAATAGGACCAGACCTTTCAGCTTTGTGTACAGTTTTCCAGGGCCAAACATTGTATTCCAAAGACTAGCATGCTCCTGACCATGTAAGAGTGCATTGACAGATCAGGTGCAAGGAAAGGGTGGTCTGGAAAAAACAGTGAGAACAATATGGTCCTTTGTAGCACCCACACAGGTGCTTCCTGAAAAGATTGTGTATGTTTTCCTGAGAAATCCCCTTTTCTCTGAGATGGGTCTACAAGGGGCTGGTCCATCTTGGCTCCTGAGGAGCTGGGGTGCAGCAGCAGGGAGCTTTGAGCTTCTGTGGCAGCAGTGCAGAGGTGGCCGTGCATGCTCTCAGCAAGGTCCCAATGTCTGTGAGAGCAGACTAGGGTTAATTCTCTGAGTGACCAAATCCTGCTGCCAAGATAGATAGAAGCACAGAAATCTCAGAACGAGAACCAAGACACATCCCTCTTTAAACACTTGCCTGTGTATTTGATTCCAAGATGAGGCAAGCCCATCCTCAATTTTGGAAAAAAATATAATAATCAGAGAGCCAACACTTGGACAGATGGAATGTAAGGAAAGACTTTGTGGTTGGTCATACTCAGCCGTTAGCTAGGGCAGCAAATGCTTGATATTAGAAGTAGGTAAAAATGCACAGCTATGTGGGAGATTCAGATAGTCAGTGTGTGAGGAATGGAATTAGACCACAGGAAGTGATTATTGTGGTTTTTTTTACTAAAACCTTACGCACACTGGCCTTCCCTTTGTGTTTATTGTTAATTATTAAACAAAACTGAGCTTTATATGAAGCAGGTCTTCTGTGAAACACTTACCTAACCCTGAAGGTAGGAATTTGTTACTCTTGACATGGCAGCTTTTAATGGCTCAAGATATTGTCTGAGTTTTGCATTGAGGCATGTGAAAGCTCACACTCCTCACATCCCCCACATCTGTTATCCCATGGGAAGTAAAGTAGCTAGATCTTGTTGTTCACAGAGATATTTCTACCTAAAATACTGCTTTAATCTCTTGTTTAAAAGTACATCTTGAGCTTTTGTGCTCCACCAGTGTGCTCCTACATTACCTTTTCAGCAGTTTATACTGTTGAGCATTGGTTCAATGGCCTTTTTTTCTTTTTCCATTCCCTGTTCCATTCCATGCATTACAAGCACATCATACAGTGACTTACAGAAGTCATGCGTGACTGCTATTGCTGGACTCATGGTGGCTATTACTGAACATCTGGTTTATTCCTACTATCATTCTCAAGAAGAGGTAGATTCATGCTAGGAATTTGAGCCTGAGGCAAGTCCATTTGCAATCTGTGTTGCTGGTCCCTGATATCCTTTATTATACTGCAATAGAACCACAGCAAAAATAAAAAGTAATAAATTAAAAATACGTACCTCTTCTATAGCTTATAACTAAGAGCACAATTTTTGGTGGATATATTTTAACAAAGATCTGTGATTCAGGAAGAGATAAAGTTTTATGGAGAACAAGAACACCTTCATTTATACTAGATTGCATAAAAGTGTCTAAAGGTTATAATTTATCTTGCTTCCAATCACTAGTTTCAAGAACACCATAAGAGCCATTGCCAAGGACGGGTTATTCCAGGTTCCTTTATTGCAGCTGCTCCTGGAAACATGAATAAGGGCAGATGGTCTATATGGGGTTGTTGCAGTACAAATATCTTTACGTGTTTTTTGGCTGTAAACTTTAATTTCTCTGTGTGAACTATCCTTTTTCAAGTGTAACTGAGTCTGCGCTATATCTGTATATCTTTAGGTTTTGAAACGTCACCACTTGGAAAGGACCCTCTGGAAGCTTTGAGGACCTTAGCTTTCTCAGAAAACCCGGGCTTACAGCAGTCTGCTGCTCTCTATTATTTGCACATGAGCCAGCACAGTAAGTTATCTCAGTGCATTAGAAATTTTTCACATAATTATAAATAAAATTATCTTTTCGAACTGTGAAACTTCCTTAGATTCATTAATCAAGTTTTTTTCCTTTCATGCTATATTGCTTGCCAAGGAAAATGGAAAAGGTGTCATTGCCACGTGGGCAGAGTCATTATAGGTTTTACTATGAGAGGATATGTCAACATTATAAAAGACTGTCATTTACCTAATTGTAATACTTCTGAAAAAAAAAAATCAGCAGAATCCCAAGTAGTTAGAGTATTCTGAATCTCCTGAGAGTCATGTGGTTAAAAGTCTGGTGGCAGGAAATGGACATACATGTAGTGATCTTTTAATATTTAATATTATATATTTTTTGGAAGAGGACAAAGCCCTAGAGGCTAGATTGTAGTGGAGACAAGAAGGAAACATTATGCTTTGTACCCACTACTACATGGGAGTGCTGGGCTCCTGAGGTACTTTTTAAACAAGCAGAAGTCACCCTTGATATGCCAGATAAGATTCCAGCAAGAGTTTGGGTCGTATATAAAGGCAGAAATAGCAGCATCAAGAAGAATGCTATTTATTTATTTATTTATTTATTTATTTTTATTTTACCTTGAGCTTTATCCCATGTATTTCTTCTGGCTAAAATGTGCAGACCGCCACAACATGAGGAGCTGCTGTGAGGTGGAATGACCTGTTTGGTAGCAAGGCATGTTGGTTCTCTTCCCATAATGTTTTTGAAGTACTTGATTATTCAAAACCTGTTCAAGAACTTTGGCCTGTTTTGCCAGTAGCAAGGTACTTTAAATGGTGGGGAACACCACTCAGCCCATTTACATGTATGGTAGCACCTGGGGCCCAAGACAAGAGAAAAATGTGAGAAACCCTGGTTAATGATGAGACTTCTGAGTGTTTCCTCTCGTTCCTGCAGTGAATATTCCCCTGCCAGCAGAGCATCTGGAACCCTTCTATGCCTTACTACGGTCTGCTGACCTGGAGGTGCAACAGATGTCTTCTTTGTCCCTTGTCAACTTTCTGCTGGAAGGAAATAGTGAGTAATTAACAAAATATTTCCTGTTCTGGTGTAAAAGCTTCTGTTCAGCAAGACTTAGTGCAGAGGTAGGGCACATCTCTATAGCTAGGTCTACACAAATCCAAAATCCTGTTTTTGTGTTCTAGATAGGACAGGTGTGAGTCTCTTTTTGTTTGCAAGCCACATACATTCTGGTGTCATCAGGATATATTTGGCCCCCGATGCTATATCATGTAGCAAGAAATCTTGGATCTGTGTGCAAAGGCTGATAATTTTTTCTCAGGCTGATGTGGGAATAGCTGTGCTACTCTCATTCTTGGATTGAGAACCCACCACTTAACTTTTGAAACAATAGGTACGGCGCTCAAAAACAAACTCAGCCCTATGAGGTGGTGCTTATTTCCCTGTTATTTATTAACTGAGCCTCAGTCTTAAAATGCTTACGGATTGGAAAAGAAAAAAAAAAAAAGATGTTTAGATGTTTAGTAGAATTTAGTAGAATTTGCTTTATTCTGTAGCTAGTAGGGCCCACCTAATCGATATAAGGCCTGGGAACTGCAGATGACACGCTTCCCAGTAGAGCTTGATTGACAAGGCATTAATGCCCCACACATCCTCAATGGAGAATTTATTATTTCATCTACTACTGCACTCCCTGGCACCTGGGCTACAACAGGTATCCATCACTCTATCCCCTACCAACAGAAGATAGGATTAGTCTTCATTGAAGCTATTTTTTCCTTTCATTTTCTTTTTTCAAGGATCTTGCTGCAAATAATATCAAGTCACTATTTACAAGTTAAAAAAAAATTAAGGTAGATTTCAGGACTAAAAAGGGGAGCATCTGAGTAAATTGTGAACCTGTTGGAAAAGAGCAGTTGTAGTTTCATGAACCTTATGTTTGAAAACAGACTTTCTAGCAGAAATGTTTGGGAGCATCTGAACGTCTCTTACACTGTTTGAGTCTAAAGATAGATAAGCAAACCAAGCTTGTGCGTGCCTTTCAGGCTGTTTCTATGCTAGGTCCATTTTTCGTAATCATAAGATATGCCTCAAAGCAATCAAAGGAAGATATATTCTTTTCACAAAGGCATTAACTGTTTACTTCCTGGTTTGTCCATTTGTTCTTGAATTTATGAATAGTTGACAAGGAACTGGTTGTGCAAATGGGTTTACTTGAGCCAATTCTGGACCTGCTTGAATCAGATGATCCCACCGTCCAGTGTAATTCCTGTGCCTGCACCATGACTTTGGCTGTTTCAGGTGAGTATGCTGTTCTTTCCCTTTCTCCTCTGCAGTGAATTCATTCAACTCTTGTGACATATTTCAAGGTGACACAACTTATTTGCAATTGCTTTGAGTCAAAAGAGGCAGCAGCAAATTTTAGTGTTCTTATATCAGAAATTCAACATGTTGGGATTCTGGTTAAGATCTTTTTCTCAGCCAAGCTCATTTAAAACTCCTCTTGTAGATGAGGCTCTCCATTTATCTTCATAGCCCTTCTGGGCATAAAGTATATGTTCCAGAAATGGAACATAGCGATTCCATCTGCTGTTTTGGGATACCACATACCTCAAGCATTGTTACAGTCAGAAGATGTACATAAATGCTGCAGAAGTTGTATTTTGAATTCATCTCTTCTGAAATGCAGGTAACCAGAAATGTGCAGTATTCCAGTTGGGGTCTCACCGATTTTTTTACAATGGCAACCAGGAAAATACATTGTGTGATACATCTGATGATTGCAGTTGCTCATTATATCATTGCATCATGGTGCTGCTGTCGTACTGCAACTGATTTAATCACTTAGTCTTTCTCCTCCTCTGCTGCTATGTCCTGCAGACATCAGTTTGTTAAGGGTCTGCAACAAAGCTCAGCCCCAGTTACCAAAAGAAAAGTTACCACATTGGTCTCCCAGAAGGCTGAGAGAGGCAGGGTGGATGTGTAACTTTCTCACTTAGGTACTTATGTTACAAAGGGGGATAAGCAGGATCCAACTACATCAAAGTGCTGATTTGCATTTTATCCCATCTTTCAATTATCTGCAGGTTTTAAAATAGTTTTCCCTTTGAAATTTATTTTTAATCATTGCATATTATTACAGTCAGGTTAAGTACACTGCATTCTATATTACCTTGTATGGAAGGCAAATCACTTAATTTAAATGCTTTAATTAGGCATCTCATCACTAAAATTTTAGATGCCTTGCACCAGGAGTTCTTTCTTTATGTATAGTCAGTGAAGTTTTGCTCCTGAAAATCTACAAAGGCAGATTCCTTTGCCTGTTCTAAGCGGCACACAGAGGAAGGGACTCCTTTAGGAACCTAAAGATAGTCTTTAGTCCTGAAGGCTCTCTGGCCCTCCTAGATGTTTCTGTCTATCCCAAGATGTTGGGAACCCTCAGATGCAATTTGCCTTCATTCTGTTACGGATGGTAACCCAACTCCACTGCATGCTCTTTAAAAAGCTAGTGTACTTCTGAGCACAAGTAGTTCACGTTAAACACTCAAGAAGCTTTCAAATTGTATAGGAAGTCATCTGCTGAACAAAGAGGTAGGCAGTGCTGCAAACACATAGGCTGGGTTGCTGCCTGGAATTTAGAGCAGGTTTGAAGATCTCTGTCTGAGCTTAACTAGGCTTTAGATGGACTGGATACATTTATTTCTTTTTCAGAATATGTTTTGCTACCATCGCAGTGAGACTAAAGCAAGAAGCAATTCAGTAAATTTATTTTAATTCTGACTCATAGACTCTGATATCTTATAGGGTCCATTTGAGAATTCTGTTTGGTCATGGCCTTCAAGTATGCCCTTCATGCTTCAGAATGATTTTTAAAAGATAAATACGGAAGCAGAACAAAATCAGGAAGATCCTTTAGATAGCTTTGAAGTGACTAAATCTATATATCCAAGAATGGCAATGTGTCTAAACTCTGCTGCAATAACCATCCAAGACTGTGCAGAGTGCAGCTGTTTAGAAATGTGACTGCAAGTTATACATGTGAACTGCAATGTCCGAGACTGACTAGCTGCCAGAAATAGCTGAAAACAAAAACAGCAAACAAGCCCATTCAGATTAAAGGATTTCAAGGCCAGTTTGTTCCAACACCAGCATTTGCCCGCACAGGAACAGGACATAGGTACATTTGCAATTATCTGCAGCTTTTCAACCTGTGAGTGAAAGTAATCAGTTCTGGGATAAGAACTCTTCTCAGAGAAGAGCAGAACTCAGTGTTCACAGCAAGGGTGCAGGGAGGCCTGAACATCTGCACTAAGCTAAGCAAAAAGGATGCAGTGCACATTCAAAGCTGTACTGTCAGAAAAATTTTCAAGCACACAAAGAGCAGAAAGTGGAAAGAAAGAATTTGTAGATGCAGGTTTCCAGGTGAGTTATTCAAACCCAGCTAGAGTAGATGTTATTGATTGTCCTACTTTAGAGTACGATAGGGACATGTGTTTCCCTGTCACTATGTACCTTGAAGATTTTTCTTTCTTTAAGAAGCAGAACTGGCTTCTCTGGGCAACCTGTGCCAATACCTCACCACCCTCAGAGCAAAGAATTTCTTCCTAAATCTGCCCTGTTTTAGTTTACAGCCATTACTCCTTGTCCTGCCACCCCACTCCCTGATGAAGTCCCTCCCCAGCTTTCCTGCAGGCCCCTTTTAAGCACTGGAAGGCTGCTGTAAGGCCTCCCTGGAGCCTTCTCTTCTCTAGGCTGAACAACCCCGACTCCCTCAGCCTGTCTTCACAGGAGAGGTGCTCCAGCCCCTCGATTGTTATATTGGAGAAATGATCGTCTACAAAATTGACCTGAAAATTTCACCAGTGTAATTGCTTTCCACGTGACCCGGCTATTTTTAAATACACGTCTTTTCCCAGAACAATTATTTCACTTGAAATTGAAAATATTTTTTTTTCCAGCATGAAAACATTTCCTTAAGTATAAAATATACATGTGAAGGCAAAAAGAACACTAAAAAGAGAACACTATTCTGGAGCACTAAGCTAATCTCAGCTGAGCTATACTTGAGTAGATATCCTGGATCATCTGTGTGTCAGTTCCCCAGTATAGAACAGCCCCAGATATACAAGTAATGTTTTTTTCTCTTAGCTCTCTAAGTTAGTTGGTACATGAAGAGTTGATCTGATCCAAACACCTTCACATTTCTTGCTTTCTTGTGCTTCATGTTTTTCTAGCAAGTCTTCAGAGACTGGCCATTGTTTAAACTGTCTAGAAATGTACATAAATAAATCAATACTCAAATAAAACTCCAAAGGACTTTAGTTTTGCTCAAATAAACAATGAACGATATATACTATGGACTTTACTTTTTCTGTTTGTGAAGAAATCTGCAGAATACTGTGATACTGAGAGAAATCTTCACTGGTCTAATTCACATTTTAAAGTCATCGACTTCAAAGAAGAACACATTATTTCAAAACCATGCCATTAGTATGCTTATAAGTAAATGAGATAAGATACAATCAGTGAGAGAGGACCATAGCCATCTCAGTGTGGCAGCAGGTTATTTGTTGCAAATGTTTTGTTGGCCTCCTGGCAGAGGTGTAGAGAAGAGCACAAGGGAAGGACTCTCTTTTCCATAAGACTAAGTCCAAAACAAGAGGAGCAGAAGTAAAAGCAGATTTTTTAATAAATTAAATTGTATTGCCTAGCATAGTATAACTTTATCATATGCAGTATATGTATTTAGACAGTATATAAACACGTTATATAGTATTTGATATAGTATTTTGTAGTAGTATTTAAGTATTACTGTTATTTTTTATTTTTTTTAATCCAATGGTCCCAAGGAACTCTGCAGATCTTTTTTTAAATTCTTGTACTCCAGGATGGTGAATACAACTTTACCACCTAATACACTGCCGTGCAAGGAAGTATCACCACTTCAGTGAAGCAGAATCTTTCCTAATTCCAGTAGTTAAGGCAAATTCTGTCTTTAAGAAACCTGTGCTTTGTTTGTAGCTTTCCCTGGGGTGGTACAGACGCATTCAAAGAGAGAAGGTCCTGAACACACCCTGCTAAATTACTTCAGTATTATCCATAGTTAATTGCATAGCTTTTGGTTAGCACCTTGTGAATAGCCTGGTCAAACATAGCAGGGATACAAGGCAAGCATAACACTCTGCTAACCCATTCAAGGAGAGTTGCATTGCTTTTATCTTAATCGTCCCACTCACAAAACAAAAGCAGTGAAACAGCTGTGAGCTATGACAAATATAGAAATCACAAGTTAGTGCTTTTGCTTTGAGCTCTTGAAAGTTTTAAGAGGTTCCCTGGAGTACACAGAGAGGTTTTGATCTATACAAAAGAATCAGAGAAGTGAACTGTAAAGAAATCTAGTCCTGCCAGATGTCCTGCTCTTGATTCTCAGTAAGGTGCTACTGCTGGGCAATGTCTCATTTCTTCCTTATTCTGATTTTCTTCCCCAGAATCCAACCGAGATGCTATTGGTGCAGCCCGAGGAGTTACCCCCCTACTGTCTCTTGCCAATTCCTATGATCCTAGAGTCCAACAAAATGCAGTTGGTGCAATTCTCAACCTCACACAATCAGGTACCTTCTGACTAATGGTTTAGCTAGAATTGCTGAAAGAAAACATCTCACCAATAGAAAAATACATAATTCAAAAGAATTAAGGCAAGAACAAAAGCTTATCTGAGCAATGAGTGATTTCCTTTGACTGTGGTATTCACTGATGATACCACATAGGCTGATGATTTCAATTTGGCCTATCCTTAGCTAATGCAAGCCCTTTTTTGTGTAGTCCCAAAACAGGAAGGCTTGATTTTCAACCTCAAGGAGTTAAAGTACAAGGAATTAGATCATTAAAGAGAGAGAAAAATCATTTATTAAAGAAATAGTTTGGTCTATGAAGCTAGCAGAAATCTGCTAGTACTTTTAAGCGATCTCAGAAGCTTATCCAATGTCAAATGCTAGGATTGTTTGACTTATGTCCCTAACCTGATGTTGGATGATTCAAAATACAGATATTATGGACCTTCTGTTCTTATTAAAAGCTCCTGGGATTTCTGCTAACAGCTTCAGCAAAAGCAGCATTTGGTCCTCTGCAACAGAGCTACCATACAGTAGCTCTGAAACAAGACAACATTAAATCCCTCCTATCCACATGGCATCATTGTGCCACACAACTGGATAGCACAGTCCTGAGTAACGCCTCTTATCTCTATATGGTAGGGAGACTGGTTGGCAAGAACTGTTAGAGTTGGCAATTACACTTCCACTATTATTCAGTATTTTGTTTAAGTTTTGTTTGTTCGTTTTATATGAAAATCACAGTGAACTTTGTACCTGAGTATTTTCCAGATTCTCCAACAATTCAGATTGACAGTCTTGTCCAGCCTTATTGATTCTGTGATTTCTCTGAACAGGACAAGCAGAAAGACAGCAAGGGCACGATCAGTCAGCCTGCTAGTCATTTTGCTAAAATTACTGCATACTGCTGTCTTGTACAAACTCTCAGCGCTGTGCTCAGATGGTTGGATGTGTGTCACCACTCTCTAGAGTCTGACAGTTGTGCATATACCTGTTGAATGATGCCTCTAGACGAGAGGGAGTGAAGGGAAAGGATACACTAACAGCACCTTGTTGTTTTTTTAATGGCAGAGAGGATCCAACAGGTCCTGTGCAAGGAAGGAGCCCTGCCCGTTCTCATCTTTCTGCTGGAGTCTCCTGACTCAGAAGTGCAGGTATGGCTCAGGCAGGTCAGAGTTTCAAATAGGAGCAGCGTGACTGTAGGGAGAGCACAAAACACAGAACTGGGAAATGAGAAGGTGGAGAGAGGGGAAGGTTTCTCTAGAGAAGTGGGGCGGCACGTGAGAGCATCCTGGTGACACGCAGCTTGGTCAGACACCATCTATTCAAAACACCTGATTTGTTAGCTCCACAAGAGAAAGCTTATGATGCCAGCGCACACTAAAGCATGCACAGAATTGCTCTGCAGCTACCTTTCTGTGTCTTTTGGATCATCAGACCAGTTGCTGATAGGCCTGTTCTGCTGCTTTTTTGGCATCCTTTGATCTTCTGCTCTAAGCAATTTTACTAAGTGTTTTAAAAAGCATAACTTGCAAAGTGTTTTTTTTTTCCCTCATTTTTATACATGCGTGGGAAATCTTCTTACTTTATGCCTACCCCAGACACCTCTTTGTGATTCTGCATACTTAACAGAGAACTGGTTCTTGGTTTAAAAGTTTGCTAATGAAGAACTATAAATCAGAGCTGTAAAGTTTAAAATCCGCTATTTCATTCATCCAGAGAAGCACAGGATTGTTTCCTCCACTGTTTATATTATCTCTGTTCAGTTCTCTAGTAAAAGTCTGAAGTGCTGGAGCCTCCAAAAGTGCTTTCCCTCATATTCATCTTAAAATTTCCCTCTCTGCAGTTCAACCTGTTTCTTCTAATTATACCTCCCCAGTAATACATGCTTTAATATATATAATCCTCCCTAGCGTTAACGTTTAAATCCTTTGAAAACGATCTCTTGGCATGCTAGGGCAGTGACTACATCCAGCCTCAGTAAAACGAAGTATACATATAATACAGCAGATGTAAGTGAGCTAGCTTAGGTGTGAGCAGTGCAGCACATTCCCAAACACCCAGGGGCCTCACGGGTTTGTGCAACGTGCGCTGCCACAGCACGACTGCTGTTGCTTGTCCTGGAGGGAGCCCACTCAGACCGTTATCATGCCTACCCAACAAAATACCTGAAAATGAAAAAGCACTTTATTTTCATCAGTTCTCAATCTGAGCGTTTTTCTGATTTATTTTTATGCTCTTCAGTGTCATCACGGTGACTGCTTCTCTCCCTGTTTTTTTCTTGTCTGTCTGCAGTATTACAGCTGTGCTGCCCTGAGCAACATAGCAGTGAATGCTCAGCACCACGAAGCCATGCTGAGAACCGGTGAAAGATTCCTGCTGCGTGTGCTCACCTCTCTCCTATCCTCCCCTGTGGACAAGGTAAAGCTGTTGCTTTCTCTTTGTGTGAAGGTTTAGCATCAGAGCAGAGCTATAAAACTCGACTGCCAGTTTCAGCATTGTACAATTCCGCTTATATACTGCACCAAAGCCTCTGTGGCATCTTTCCCATGAGGAAAGATAGATACGTAGGGAAATCATTAAAGTCCTGGACACTTCCTTTAGGCTAAGACGACCTGTTTTCTTTAAACTTGAAACTCTGTGTGAAATGGTCTGTTCGGGCTCTCGCTATCTGTGATCATTGTGTTTGTGACTGCAAGTATCTGGAGCACCTATTATGCTACTACTTCTCTCTCTCTTTCAATATACTTAGCTTTGACTGTATAGCTTCAAAGCCTAACATCTAGAAAACCTTGCTTTGCTGGGAGCCATACACTGAAAAAACTTCACTAAGATCCAATTCAGGATTTAAAGGGGAGAACTTTAAATTCTGTGTAGTCCCTCCTCGTTCAAAAAAAAAAAAAAAAAGCAAAGCAAATGAGGAAAACAAATTCAGTCCATATATTTTCTTGTAATTGATTTGACATTTCTAAACTAAACCAACAACTGAACCTCACTGGCTCTCTTCCTCATCAACAGGATGACTAATGACTAATGCTAGAGGAAGTTAAAACAAATTTTTCAAAACTTTGACCAAAAAAAAAGTGTACAAAAACTTGTGCTCTGAAGATAATGTGGTAGCTTGCTAGTGTTGTCACATTTATTTTGAGTACAGTAGTCAAGACCATGCACTATTGAATCCACTACTCTTTTTCTCTCTCTCTCTCTTTTTTTTCTTCTTCTGTTTTGCACAAGCAGGTGTCAAGCCAGGCATGTGTTTGCCTAAGAAATTTGGCTACCAGTGGTAAGTAATATCTTGGAGATAAACAAAACACACTTTTTCCTTTCTCTCTCTGCCTTTCTAAGCAAGCAGTACGGGTTGGGAACCTTTCACATTAAAAGCAGAGACACTTATTTCTACTCTTTAGTTCGATGTTACAAGGAGAGGGAGGTGCAGCATGCCCAACTAAACCTGCCTCAGAGCTCCCAGGCATGAGGGGGAGTACCCAGCGTGAGAGAGCCAGCACAGGTCTTGCATGCACAGAGCCCTTCTCTCCCTTCAGTGTTCCCCAGTCATTAAACCTGATCAGGACAGAACGTCTCCTGAAATTGCTGCTTGAGCAGGGGCCTGCCTTCTCCCAAGGCACGAATCCGCCTGTCATTAAACAAAGTTTTCTCCCGAGCATTTGTCATCCTCTTAAAATATCCTCTCCTATGAAATGCCCGTGATCCACTCCTGCGGCGTACTCCGGAGATGAAAGCAGAGAAGCCGCACTCTCAGTGCCAGAGCCTTAGGGTCCGGAGCAGAGGTGTTCATCTAGCAATTGCAGAGACACCTCATTTTCCAGCTGTCACAGTGACTGTGGAGCTGGGTGTGAAGGCACCGCTGCTTCGCTCCCTGGTGTGGGCTCTGTGGCCTTTGGGACTCCATCTGCTGGCTGCTCTGGCGGTGCCTCCGGTGCCAGGGAGCGCTCGCTGAGGTAGCAGGGCAGGCGTGAGAGGGCCATGACCGAGACAGGCGGTGCTCGGGGAGGCCTTTCTGTCTGCAGCAGGAGCTGCTGCCTTCCCACCAGGCCTTAGGCCAATGAAGCACTCAGAAAATGCCCCTCGTTTCTTCTCACCAAGGTTCAGACACAAAAAGAAGGGTGTCCGAAGCTGCTTTCAAACCTGCATTGATCTTTTGGCCAGAGGAGCCCACAAACGAGGTTTAATTCTTACAGCCAAGTACCCAGCGTTGTCCCATCCCACAGAGATCGGGACATCCCCTCTAACCTCATCACGTTTCACCATCATCTTCCCAAACCAGCGGACACCCAGGCTGAGATGGTCTCCCAGGACGTCCTGCCCAAGCTGTGCTCTCTCCTGGCCTCTGGCAGCGAGGCCGTGCGGCGCGCATCCGTCGCCCTGCTCTGGATCCTGTCCCAGCACCCGCACAACCAGGTAGGGAAGCTCATCCTTCCTCACGGCCTCAGATACAGGATGGTTCCTTTGCCCACACTCAGGGCAAACACCACCATTAGCAGTGCAATGCCAGGCAAACACACAAAGCCTGACTAGAGAAAAACTACAGCAAACAAACAAAGCAGACACTTCCGCTGTACTTTCAACCTCCACGTAAAACAGCGAAACCAGTAAGCAGCGATCAACAAATTATTATTTTTAAATATGCTTTTCTACTACAGTGTTTAAAGGCATCCCTAGGAACATGGACATGAAAGGTTTTTGGTAGGTATCTTAAGCTAACAGTAACCTCTTAGGAGTGATAGTTTGGTCAGATAAAGAAAAAAAAATAAAGAGAGAGAAAAAAGAAGCAAGAACCTTTCCTGTCAGGTTGCTTTAAGCAGCAGTGACGGTCTGGGTAACCACAGCTGGCCTCTGCCTTTTGTGGCTGAGATTTGAAATGTCCCCAGGGTATTGGAGTGCCTTGCACCTTGTTGCATGTACACAGCATGGTACAAGCCAAATCTGGCCTCCTCTAACTGGGGGACACAATGGACAAATTGGGAAAGCTGAACACCTCCGAGGCAGCACAGAGCTTCCCAAAGGCTTTGTGCAGGCCGCGCCAGCACCAAACACCCTCCTGGCGTGTGAACTGCCTCCTGCAGCCGCACACAATCTGCTCTCAGCAAGCTTGCCACTGACCTAGGCAGAGTTAGCTGGGGGCTATTTGCACAGCAAAAACATTACTACATCTCCAGGTTTGTTCTAGTGAGCAAACAGGGCTGGCCCCGAGGAGCGAGCGTGGCTGCTTTGTGCGAGCGAGCCCGCACGCTCTGAGAAGAGGCTGACCTCTCCTTCCTCACAGCCTGCCTCCCCACCTCCGTGCCTGCTCTGGCCTGGTTTTTCAAGGCTTTTCAAGGTTTCTTTCACTCACCCAGACTGAATTCTGAGTGCCTGAAAGAGGAATTTCTCCATGGGAACAGCTGTTGGAAAACAAAATGCCTCACAAAGCTAACCTTTACAACCAAGTCAAGTGATGCTTGAATTATTGCGAATGCCACACAAGATACAATACAGCAGAATTCATCTGCCCTTTCATTACCACGAATCAAAACTCTGAGGGTGCTTTGCACGAGTTCCCCTCCCCTTTCTTTTGGTCCCCTGGCCTGGCTGCTGACAGCGATTCCTGGCAAGTGCTGGACAACTTCCCTCCTGCAGGGGAATTTTACTCAGCCAAAGGAGAGTCCAGCACTAAAACAGTAAGGAAAGAGTCAGTCTCTGTGGGAAATGGCCTTTTAAATCACATTCCTGTCCTGGAAATCAGAATGACAAGGATCTGCCAGCTCCAGGTGATGCTGCAGACTTCCCACTCCAGGTGCAAAGATCTTTGCTTCGCTCCCATCGTGCTACCTGGCAAACAGGGGACAGATGATGTTTATCCTGGCAAGCACTGCCTGCCCAGGGGTGCTGAGTACAGAACTGCAATTCTGAGCATAGGTGCTGCTGGAACGCTTTTCCTTGCTCTTTTACTTTGAATCTGGGGAGAAGCTGGGTCAATGCTCGTTTGAACCACTCAAACCACTTCCACTCAGATTCTCTCATGGTTCCTCACACTGTGCAGGCCTGAGCCAGGAGACAAAATCTGGATCCCAGCTGCACAACAGCCTAGAAAGAGGTTCAGCAGAATTTAGAGTACTGCCACTTGCTGATGTAGGGCTACATAACCTGAAGAAGCTTGGCAGGGAAGTCATTATATATTGGAAAGTTCATTTAGAGCCTGTAGACAATTTCCTCCTCTCAGGCTGCAGCAAATCAAATAATGGTACTGTAGTCAATGGGATTACATGGAAAAGAGGACACACAGTCCAAAAGCACAGAAAACAGTCATTAATGGTAATTGAATTGGATAATCTAATATGATGTGGTTTCTACTGTTAAAGAGAAGGAAAAGTAGAACTAGAGAAAGTTTACAGCCATACCTGCATATAGGATTCTTTGAATGGTCTGAGTTTAGCCATAGCATTGCCTTTTCCATCTATTTGCATGTCTGATTTTAGGATTGCTGGTTGTGACAGTGCTTAAAATGAACATAAGTGGAGATGTCAGGTAAAAGAAAATAAGATATAGTTTTGTGATTTAATCTAGGCAAAAAAAAAAAAAGATGCATGTTACACTATTTTTAAAGACCTCTTTCCATGCTGCTTCAGTCATCCCAACATTTTCCAGACTCAGATTTCTTCCATTTTTCTCAGTTGTATATAGGACTGATGACCTGTTTTACACTGAACACACTTGCCAATGTCACATTTTCTAAGTAATGTGAATAAAGTAGTCTGTTACTAATGAACATGAGAACTGCACAAAGAACTCATAGTCTTAAGGAAAACAGACTGAAAGAAAAAATATCCCAAGAGGAAATCCTACATTGCTTTCAACTGTACACCTATCCCAGAGCCTGCTGAGATCAGGTTTCTCTCACAACCAGCAGTGCCCCCTTAATCCATACTGTTACTGAGGGAACTGCCCGGGCAATGACCCAAACTGTGAGGTCTGATCCATTTAGTGTCAATACGGTGATCGGAAGAAGAGTACATTCAGGGAGAAAGGGACTCAGTGTAAGTCCTTCTAAAATATTCACCACAGAGCAGAGAAACTTACATGTCACCTCAGAGGATGCTGGCCAGAGCATGTTACTAAACTGATGCCTGATCACAAAACATCCTAAATGTGAGGTCTGTTACTGTTGGGAAGGTAAATTGCTGGGGTACTTAAGAACACAGTGCTGCTGCTTCTCCAAGTACTCCCTTCGCCTTCCACTCCTGTCCCAACCACTCCTCCTCCCACTCAGGATCACACATCCTTCCCCTGGCTACAACAGCTACTGCTCACATGGCTCAGCAGCCCCTGGGGAGTGTTTGATGCAAGCAAGGTGCTGCAAACAAAGAATAAATTCTAGACATTTATAGAGTAAAAACTGGACCTTAGAGGCTGCAGCTCTCTATAGCAAGTGCCAGTCAGTAGACCATGTTTTGGGAGGAAAGGCACTGGGTGCAGCTGCTTTGCTGCTGGATTAAAGGAACTAAGCAATACCCTTCTCACAGTTTGCTGCAAAGTTGCATTGCTGTGCGTTGGCGCTGTCTGTACAGGGTGTAATGGGAATCCTGCTTGCTGTTCCCAGGACGCCCTGGTGTGTGCCGAGCTGCTGCAGAGCCTGGGGACGCTCCTGTCAGCACATACGACAGACCCTGTGATTGCTGGCCATGCTGCTTGCATCATCAAAAACCTGAGCCTTTCCAAAAACAGAGAGGTGGGTACCCGTTTTTTTCACTGAACTACACCCTGGTATGCTGTGGTTACGTTTATATAAAACCAGCATTACCCACTGAAAGATTTTATTATTATTACTTATAAACCATATGCCAAGTGTACTCTGCACAAAATTGTATGAATAAAAGGACCTGATGTGCCATGGGGAAAGGTTTTACTTTTCCAATACAAGGCAAACAAGATAAAGAAAACAAGAAATGTCTATTTTTTCCTATAAGTGATGTGTTTACCTAATTTGAATGCCCACATCATAGATATAAAATATATTTCTGGCAAAGATATTCCAAAATAATTTATTCAGGAAAATCCATGGTTGGTTAGAATCTGAATCCTGATTTCCTAGCTCTCACTCTTCAAATGCCTTCACTTATCTATATATAGCATTCAAAAGTGATCTAATTTCACTCCCAGTTTGTTAAATATATTCCCAGCTCCTGATGTATATTATGTCTGTTTGGCCAGATACTTGTGCCAAGATGCTACAGACCTCTATCACTGACTTTTCTAATGAAATCCATATCCACAGGTGCATTTCTCTTCTCCTCACCTCTAAAGGATACTCGGTTCCCTTATCCACTTTTAGAAAGTACCACATTTCTATCACCTCGATCAAACAGTGCCACTAGAAACAATCAATTTGAGGGGGAAGGGAATGCACCAAAATCCTTGCCCTTTGCTTCACATTCTAGTACACACTTTTGGGGACTTAATTACATTTTTTTCCTTCATTCGTTATCCAATTACTGCTAGTTCCAGACACTGCTTTCCTGACACATCCAGTGTCTGAAACAAGAACTTTTCTGCTTCTGTGACTTGCCTGATTTCAGGCTTAGAAACATCTTTGTCCTTCCCTTTTCTACATTGTTAATTCCCATTTTTGAAGCTCTTGTGCTCTGTTTAGCTTTATCAAGATCAATTTAGGCTGAAATACCAAACCACAGTGCAAAATAAAGTTGTCTCTTCTGCAGACAAAGATTATTCTTGCATTCCTTTGTCCTTCTCTCCCATGATGTAAGAGAGCACTCAATCCACCTGGAATAGATTTAAACCACTCAAAAGGAAAACTCTGCTATGGGTCCATGAACCTGACTAATGATGAGGAATGGGACAAACCTTTCAGCAAATTTGAAATGGGGATGTGAAGTTCCAATAAAGTTTTTCACTTATACTAGCAAAGATAGGAATTATATTAATTTTATATAGTCGTGAAATCAATTTTTGCAGGGAAATGCATTTCCTCAAACTCAAGGCCCACATGAGAAGTAAAAATGGACCATGCTTTCAAAGTTTGCTTTAGAAAAAAAAGCCATATTTGTCAGTTAAATTTTGTGACTTCATCTGTCATCAGCAGGGAGCTGGTTCATTTTCATAAAAGCTTTATATTGTGCCTTGTAACATATTTATCACTCACTGCACAAACACACCCACAGACAAGAGTAGGAGTGCCAGGTTTCCAGGGTCAGTTCTAAAACACATACGAGTCCTTGTGACAAGAGGGAAAAAATTGTTGTTTTTATGGCAGCAAGACACAGACTGCGACAGTTTGAAAGGCAGGAGTCTTGAATCCAACTTCAATCACTAAGCGGCAAGTTAAAAAATCGCAACATAAAATGAGCATACAAAAAAGATGATCTCTTTTGTTGGCAGTCATCTGAGCTCCCTCACGGAGGTATGAGCAGCTCCCATTATTAGGATTTCCCTATGAGCTGGAGATTCAACTTCCCTAATAAGTCACCTACGGGTGACTCCCTCAGGATTCATTCCTTGGTCTCAGGGGCTTTTAATCCAGGTTGGCACAGGCTAAGTCTCCTATCCATTGTCAACTCAGTCTCTAAAGCATAGATCCCAATGCAGAGATGTGCTGGCCCAAACCACCTTTGGCATAGCAGATTCAACCTAAAAAATGAGGTGTACACAGAAATGTTTAATTTGTAATAACCCTCCACAGAAACAGGACTCACCTTCGTCAGAGGTCACCTCCTATTCCTGCAGATCAGAGCATTTCAACACTAGAAAGTTTTCAAAGCCTCAGATGCAGAGAATCTGGTAAACTTCCACGTTTCCCCATGCTCAGCCCTGCAGTACTTATGTTATTTTCCTCTGCACCAGGAGTTTAGCAAACGACAGCCTAATTCTAACATACAGCCCGATAGGGTGGTAATAAACCAGTGAAATCTTTGAGCTCCAGGAGTGCTCTGTGATCATGAGAACATGCCACAGACAGCAGGCCCTGGGAAACACCTAAAATCAGGTGATCTCTGAACAATTCAAAGTGTTTGTCAGCTGGCTGCATTAGATCTGGGAGAAGAGAGATTTCCATCCCATTGTCCTAGCCCTCAGTATTGCTCAGAGACACGCAGTACTTCTGAAGCCCTTGGGCACCACCAAAACACGATGGAAGTGCTGAACATCGGTCTCCTTCTTGTTGCAGAGAATCATCGAGAGCCCATGTGTTGAAGGTCTCCTCCAGGCCTTGCTTTCTATTGACATCCGAGAAGACTCTCTCCACTACGTGACGTCTTGCCTTGCTGAGCTGACAAAGCAAGGTAGGGAAGCGTGAATGCGTGAATACCATGAATGGCTTCCTCTGAGAAGCGTTCGCATCCTTCAATGATCCTAACGGGAGTCAAAGCCCAGGTCTCTCCTTTAAATTCACTGGAAGTTTTGCCATAATCTGGCATCTGCTGTGGCTGCCATGCAGCCAGTGACATGCCTTATTTAACTCTGCCAGAGGTGCCCAGCAGCTGTGAACCTTGTGCACAAAATGGTGCAGTCTTTCAGAACACAAACCCAACAAGGCAGAAATCCCACAGCCTTTCTCTGAAGCAAATCCAGTGACCTACCTGACTGAGAGCATGACTTCAACACACGGCCCTAGGCTTTGCAACCTAGAAACACTTACTGCAGAAGTTCAGCACTTATTTTGCTTTTCCAACTCTGTAAAGGATTTCTGATTTAGGCTATGGGTTCTGGCAGATTTCTTACCTTCTTTTCTAGGGCACTGGAGTTTCTGCTTACAGACTGCTCTCCTGTCGTTCTGTCTCCTAGAAGGAGCCACGTTACGCATGGTCCAGCGGATGGATGAACCCCTGACGAAGTGCTTGGTGAGACTTGCCGGCCAAGTGGAGCATACCGAGCCATCCTTCCAGGCTGCCTCCATCATCCAGCACATGATAGACCACGGTAACTGTCACACAGCACTGGCTGTGCTTTCAAAGATATTTATGGCTGTCTGAAGAGAAATGAGCCTTTTTCCAAAGGAGCAAGCTGTCAGGTACTGAGCAACCTTTAGCATTCCTCTGTCATCTTCCATCCGATCTCAGCTAATTCGTTAGCTCAAAAGAGCCTGCACTCACCCTAGAAATACAGATGTAGCAGTGCTTGAGTGCACAGGAAAGCCAAGAGATGAAAAGGGACCATAGATAAAGGTCTGAGTCAGGTGTTTGCTTCATGCACTACCATTCTGCAGGGCTAGCCCGTAAGCCAGTTCTGAGGTCCTTAAAAACAGGTTTAAGCAGAAAGTTGGGATGATGTAAAATACTCCTCACCAAGGAAATGAGAATGTTTCAGACGAGGCATTGCTGCACCTTTGTGTGACCTCTGCCAGTATATACAACGTGAGGGCATTCCCCACATATAGGAACAAAGGCTGGTAGAGACAATTGCAAGGGTTTTTGTGTCCCAAAATTTTAGATCACTTCTCCTGTCCAGTCAGGAGGAGGAAAGCATCTTCCTGAAGCAAACACTGCTGTTGTAACTCTCAAATAGACTAGCAGGAGCCGTGAAGTGGGTTTTGAGAACATAGTCTATGCATTTTAAATTTCAGTGAGAGATAATGAAGAGAGCATAATTTTAACCCGCAGAAGACAAATAGTTTTATGCTCAAGATACTTGCCCTATGCAGCTGAGGACATCAGACTTGCAAGAAAAAGGTGTCCAGATCATTCTTGTCATGTTCTCTAAAAAAACATGGCTAGATGTTAATCCTTAGATGTGAGAGAAACCAAAGACTGGAGGAGGGACTCTAGTAAGGGAAAATACAAACCTGTTCCAATCCTACCATCGACTATTTGCAACAGAGTGGACCCTCAAGAAGTGATCGAGTCCGACAGCATTATTGCTTCAAAATGGGTGAAGCATGAAAGGCTGATCAGTCTGCACGTCAGCACGTGTCTCACACAAGGATAGGCTCCCCAGCGTGGCAGCCCGTTCAGCAGAAATCCTGCACATTCTTTACCTGAAGCATCAGTGCTACCATTAAGGGTTGGAAGCCCTTTGCCATTCCCTGCCATGACCCTGGTAGTAGCTGAGGGCAGATGGGCCATTGCCAACCTTAAATGTCATTGCAACAAACAGTTTTAGAAGTGTTTTAAAGGCTCCTGCTGACCTCCGGTTGTTCTCCCATTTACGCAGAAAAAATGATGCATTTGCTGAAGTGTCACATCAGAGAGATTCAAGCCTACCTCGAGAATTTTCTTTCGCACCAAGAGATTCGCTTCCAGCAGCTGGGCATTTCCACATTCTGCAGGTTGCAAGCAGGTACGTCCTTGCTGCTGGGCGCTGCCAAACACTGCCTGCTCCCGTCGGAGGCACACAGGCACGGCCCTGTCACCGTGTGTCACCTGCACTGCCCTGCGGTGACACTGCTGGGCAGCTGCCGCTGGGGCTGGCCCTGCTCACCAGAAGAAACCTGAGGGTAGCTGCTACCTTACCTGTTTTAAGATAACTGAGAATATCTGATAGTAAAGGCAGATTTTATTTATTTATTTATTTATTTTGAACGAAAGGCTTTCAGATCTGAAAGAAACAGAACCCAAATTTTTGTCCAATATGAGGATGCGTGGCACTAGACTCAGCTTAAAAGCTTTTCAGTTTTGAAATTTTAGTTTATTATACTTCAAGTTCTGTTCCTTTTAATATATATATAATATAAGTTGACTAACGATGAGAGAGATAATATGGTAATAATTTATAATAATATATAGTGTGTATCTTCACAAATGTAGAGCCAGTGCTAAGACCCTGATACATCTTTGTATCTGCTATACAGAAACAGTGCATAAGGCTGAATTTGCCAACTGTGCTTTAGCCATCTGGATCAGGAGAACCGAGCAGCAAACATTCTTGAACAGTTGTAAGAATGAAAATTGAACTAGTATCCACTTTGTGTGGTAGAAAGATATTGTTCTATCTTCTATATATTTTTACACTGTAATAAGAAACAACAACCTTATCCAACCAAAAATAGAAACATTGTAAGCATCTGCATTAAAATGCAGGGGAAAACACTTGGAGAGGACAATTACTGCAGCTTGCCTAACGCTTCTTTTTCCTCTTCAGATCCAGAATTCTCGTTAGCATTCAGGAAAAGCCAAATGGCCAAACTCCTTGAGCAAGTACGCCAACAAACAGAAGAAACACAGGAGCTCCTTAGGGCAGCTCTTTGCCACACAGAGAGTTAGTATTTGAGCTGGATAGCTTATGAAAACTTACCAGATCCAAGAACTTTTTGTGAGGACAACTCTTTTCATTGGCTCCTGTAGTTAAACTTTTCCTGCTACTTGCAGTTTCACTGTACAAGCAGCAAGTGCACAGCACCTTTATGAAAGGGATGTTCCAATAACAAGAACGGGACCAGGTCAAAAGACAATCCCTCGGATGCTTCATCTGCCTGCTTAAGTGTGCTTCATGACCACGGCTATGCTCCTTCCAGCTGCTTGGAAAACACATGTTATGCTTGGATAATCTTCGCTGTTTTTTTGTTTGTTTTTCCTTCCAAAAATCAGAAAGAGCTGTATTCATGAGGTTTTATTCAGGCAAAAGGCTGATTCTACCGAAGAGGCACATTTCAAGTATGCAGGCTACTCTGTATTCATCTCCATTTTATTTCTGTTCCATGTCTTGTTTCAGAACACACCCCAGCAACACTAACTGCATTAACACATTCTATAGAAGTAGAAAACTGCCTGCAGGTTACTGCAGAAGGTAACCATGGAGGGACAACTCTCAGAAAAAATGCAAACAATTTGTAAGAAGCAAGAATAGAGAAGCACTGTGGCTGATTCTTGTATACACTACCAGCACCACTGTCCAGCACAAGAGCTAAGGCCCACTGAGGCAGGTAAATGTTACGAGCATTGCACAGAGCATGTTCGGAATATAGCAGCTACCACGAAAGGCTTGTGAGATGTGCCTCAGGACAGAAATCTATGTTCTGCAACTGGTACATTATTTCCAAAGGGACCTGCAAAAGGGAAAGTGAACAAATTTGACAAAATTAGGAACTGATCTTATATTCTGATATCTCATTTTAAAAGGAGTAAGAGAAGCCAAACATGTACTAGTATGCTTAGTTTTGAATTCAACTAATTTTTGTATCTGTACACAGGTTACTGAACAGCCTTCCCTTCCCTTTTCTCCAGTGGGAACATAGCTGTCTTATGGTTCTCTTTGCCAATCAAAACAGTGTTTTTCAGAGAAAAAAAAAAGAAAAAAAGAAAAAAAGTTGTAGCAGAGAGCCTTGAACTTATAGGGCACTCATTTTTTAATGTAGCTTTTTATTTCTAGGAGAAAGGTAATCTAATCATAGTCATCTAGTACTACCAATAATTTACTAATAATCTAATTACACCTTTGATCTATACACTTACTGTTTTTAACATTGAGAAACTGGCTGAAGCTTCTTGTTGAACTGACTGGAATACTTAAATTTTGGGATTACTCTTTTATACTGATTATTGCTCCCAGATAGCATAGTTTCTTATGGAAAACAAAATAGAAAAGTCTTTGGGGGTACTTCTGACTGTGGTACCACACCAAAACACAGCTGTAGAGCTGCTACTGGGTACAAATATGGAATACATGTTGAGGCAGATCTCGAAAAATCATTCTGCCAAGTAAGAGCTCACCATTTTACAGTGTCCCAAATCTCTAAGCTTTGGTTTGGTGCTTAGGGTAGGCTTTTTTGTTTTTTTTTTTTTTTTTTTTAGGTTAATGTTTAATTTCAGTAACTGCAAGTTCTCTCCAATTATAAGGTTAAAAACAAAACAAAACAAAAAAACAACCAAACCAAACAAATATTTAAAAGCCTCTCTACAGCACAGCAAAAAGCCCTGTTGAAGAACAGAGTAGACAAATCTTAGATAAAGCAGTACTGAATTATCAATATTCAATGGGACAGACAGGAATTTTCTTCTGAAATTTCACGTGAGAGACCCACGCGCTCACTCCCAGGCAGTAGGGCTCACTGAAGCAGAAGACTAAACAGAGCTGAATGACACAGCTACGAATGAAACTCGAAGATCTCAAACTTCAGGCCACCTCCTTAGCTGATTTTAGATCATTTACCAAAAAGAAAATTAGTGCAATACTTTATGTCCAGTGGGATACGTAATGACATTAGAGTCTGTCCTCTATCTAATTTTCTTAGATATTTAATTGCAAACATTACTTCAAGGTCGTAGCAAGAAAGAAAATAACAAAGCAGTCTTCCTCAGGAATAAGGAGGTAAGAGATGTGTAAATCAAACAAGCTAGTGGTGGATAGCCCAGGAGTTGTGCTGTAATGACCGATGTTGCCCACTCCCTGAATGTCACCCACATAAGTATCCGTTTTGTTGTTCAGATGTAAGCAAGGAGCTGAGTCTCACCAAAGCACACGGTCCTGTTGCTGTGAAAAGTTACTACTACCACCTATCTTCAGAAAAAGCTGGAACTTCTACAGTTGCTCATTCTACCTCACTGAATAATTAAGTGTTGCCTTTGATAGCACGAATAACAAAGAGAGATGCAATCGCAGGCCAAAAAGCTGGCCTTCATTTGTTACTGTATTTTATTACCAAAAACAATATTCAAAGGAAAAGAAACTTTTTCCCTGCATTTAAAGAAAAGGGGGTTGAACCCAAGACTTAAAATTATTTTTTTTTTTGACACACACCTAATTCTACACTCATTCCCTAGCCTTTAGTTTTACATTGGGTCCTTGAAAGAAAGAATTTTTTTCTTCTCTTATTTGAAGTGCAAGCTTGGAATGAATATAATTATACATTATTTTTACTACAACCCAGTTCAAAAAACATACGAGAAATGAATCAGACTCTTCTCTATACTGCAAACAACAAACCATGTGTTGTAAAGTCTCACAAAAGTAATCAAGATCAACATAGCTTAAGCCTGAGCCTAAATGAATCCTCAGACATAAAACTGAAGCTAAGTCTTACTGGCTACATCTTTGTTCTGTCCATAGTTGTGTAAGTGACCCTGCACTGGTTTTTCTTCTAGTAAAGAGATTAGAGGAAACTTAAAGAAAGGAAACCTAAGACCAGGAATAGCGAGAAGAGTTGTCCACCACAGACTGACTCCTGCTCCACCTATGCAAGAAAATCAAAATATAAATAGAAGTAAATATTTCAAACAAGTTTTATTTGGTACTTACATGCTAAACATTGGTTTAAAGAAAAACTACAGATTTTGGTCACTTTAAAATATTGTGGCTATGTACATGGAAAACTAAAGAAAGCAAGAAAGGATCCCAATTAATTTTACTGTGTCACAAGCCGTTATTCAAAGTTATTCTGACTGAATGGCTGTTTTTCCCATCCGTGTATTCTGGCAGATGGTCTCTTTTTGCTTTTCCATTGTTTTTATCCCATCTCCTGTGTAAGACAAACACTTGGCAGCAGCAGAACTTCAGAAGTTCTTCAGCTTCTGTCTCAGAAGATTTCTTTTGCTAGCACAGACTTTCTGCACAGCCTGAGAGCCTAGCGCAGTGCTCACTAAAGGAGCGTGCAAGAATCTTTCTGGTCCATTCTCCGTTAGCATGAACTGAAGCCTCATAACTCCCATTTCCACCAGCCAAGGACGTACTCTTGGACTCCAGTGAGTGACTCATCAAGCCCTAGTGGGTGTTTCCAACAGAAGTATCTAGTGAGCTCTGCCTGCAACAGCATTGTTTATCAAATCATACAAAAGTGCACAATTTTAGTGTTCTACCCAACAGCAACCAAAAGCGAGGGATGGTAGGAATCAGCATCAGACTAAAGAGAAAGCAACCTGCATTGCTCCTCCTATCAGTCAAACTGAAGTGCATTATGAAAATCACAGGCTACATAAAAAGCACAAACAACGACCATTTGCCATTTGCTCTGAAACGAGCAAAACCAAAAAAATCCCCAAACCTGCTTTATCATCCAAATATCAAATAGTTCAGGTTTCACACAGTCTTCAATAGTCTGATAAGGCAAAGGAAATGTCTTCCATCATTGGGAACAGCAGCAATTTACAGGACTCGGAACAAGGTACTTCCCTGTGTGGGTGTATGTGCATGCCTGTGCGTACACATCCTTTATAGGATTGTGAACATGAATGTAACTAAAAAAAAAATAAATCAAGTTTGCAGTATCATTTTAGCACATTTTTCTAATTTATTCAATTATACAATTTACTTCTTTACTGAACAAAAATTCATAAATACATCATCTAGGAGAACAATAGTTTTTCCTCTTGTCTGTGAAAAAATAACGCTTTCAAATTTTCACATTTTAAAACCTGCCTTGTTTTGTGTTTTTAGAGAAAATGTGAGAAGATCATAGTGATTCTCAATTTACAGAATGTCCCTGTAGGAATTACATTTACAAGAACCTGATACAGAAGCCTATACTTTGCCCCCATAATTAGAGTTCTCTGCAATAATATTTAAACCAACAGGTTTAAATAAAACACCTCATTAACTCTACTTGTAGAGCAATGAGGTATTTATTTTTCAAGTATTAGAACCACAAAGTGTAAAAGATTTGTTGCCAATTTTACAATTATGCCTTTTAAACCAACACCCATCTTTTTTAAAAAAGAATCAGTCCCACCACCCAAATCAGCCCATTGCTTTCAGATTCCAGTGTCTTGTATCTTAAGGAATGCAGAAATATCCATTGACTAACAGAAAAAAGCTTGTTGGAAAAAGCCATATTTAAGTAATGCACGTGAAGCATGATTTTTCTAGTGATGAAAACTATTGGAAAGGTGATCGAAGTCTATTCCCATCATTTCATCTGCTGGTTTTGCTAAAGTCCTTCCAAAAAAAAAGATACTCAAGAAATCTTTAAAAAACCGGAGAGAAAAATAAAACACTCCTTCATAGCATGGAAGAAACTCCAATGACTGCAGAGATGCTTACATCACCTTTGGTTCTTCAGAAGAAATAATCAGATCACTTCTACAACAGAAGGCATCAAAAATGACAGGTCAGCAAACAGGAGCAGTGCTTACTTCACAATGCTATGCACTTACGCAACTATTTTATTACAAGATGATTTTTTTCTTATATTTTCCACCCACAGAAAAAGAAAATAAATGAGGGTAGTCCAATTTAATTTTCTATATGGACATGTTTACTTAACATCCTTTAAAAGTCACGCTTAAATTCAGAAAAATCTGTTGTGCTGCAAACCTTCCATCAGTATTCACGTCAGCAAGAACTTGATTAGGGAAGTACTCTCAGAACTGTACATAAAAGGCAGCAGCTACCTGTTCCCCTTCTGCATGAGCATATCAGATATTACATCTGCAGAACTGGAACATGAGTGCAGATCATAAGAGAAGAACAGCAGCTGTCATTGTTATCATTTCCACTTCTAAGCACAGGGCAAACATTTTCAAATAATTTCAAAAGGCAAACAGTGGAGTGCAGCTGAAAGCCCTTTTCCAGCAAAAAATGAGGGCCCATCAAAATTCACGCAGCATCTGTCTGTACCTGGCATGCCCAGCTTTACAAAGAGAAGACATGCTCCCTTCCCCAGAGAATCGGGGGTGTACAATGCTTGATCAACCTTTATCAATTAGAAGCTCTAGGGACTCTGTCAATTACAACATATTACTAATTTTAATGAGCTAATGCAAACCTACCTGCTGTTTGATGTGTTTGAACACTATCTACCTGAGGCAAAAGAGTCCCCTTATCTTCAAAAGCTAAAATTGGATTCAAAGGAATTCCAGGACTATTGCTTCCATCATTGTTCATGGCATCCAGCCGGGGAGGTTTAGAACCAATGGGTAGGTTTATGATCTCTTCAAAGTTAGCATTCTGCACAGACATTCCGTTTTCATTTGTATTTTTCTCTGGGTTGAGATTGCTAAAAGAGAAACATAGGTATTTCTTCATATACTTAATCTAGAACAGAAATTTAGTCCTCGTCAAAGCAACATTACAGAAATTTAAATTAATCCAGAGCATTTGTTTAGCCATTAAAAACAAAATTATGTTATAACCACAGCAGACTAACGTTTTTTTACAGCAAGGTACTAGATATGCGTTCCCTCAACATTTACATCACATACTTCCCTTACGTTTGGCTACGCTATACCCAGAACAACAGAGACCCTCAGCAACACTGCAGTTCTGAGAAATGACTGGAATGGGAAGCAGTAAATAAGCAACCTCTCCAGCACAACCACTGCTATCCTGAGCCACCCACCTAATGCAGTTTATGGCCTTTCTCAGCTTTCAAAACCTTTGCTGTATTTGAATGCTATGATACCCCTCTCCTCTTGCTGCAAATCAATGTAATTGTGCTTAGATAAGGTCATTGTCATTTTTGTGACTCTTTGGATCACCACCTGCCTCCAGTTTTTGAGGACCCTGTTCTACCTGCCACTTACCCAGAGAAAACACTCCTTTACCAAGTCAGTTCTCCTTTCAGTTCCTCACCTTGTCCAAGTTCCTGCAGCTTATTTACCAGATGATACTCGACTCTGTGCTTCTCCCATTGATCATGCCCAAACCAAAAGCAGCACCTCCCAGCATCCCTCACATCACCCATTTTCCCATCTCCCATTAGACAGAGGTGCCTTTAGGAGTGAGCTCTTACACATCTCCCCCAGTCACGAGGGTTACAAGTGCAGGTACGCTCAAGTTACACACACACTCTTGAGGAAACAGCCGTGTGTCAGTCTTGCCCTCCTCTCCCAACCCGTACATTAGCTGTTGTGTTGTCAGACCCTGCTGTCTCTTCACACAGCATGCACTGCCTTGCCACGCAGGAGGAACTAAGGGGCTGCTTGGTGAACAGGATGGCGGTAACAGGACCCAAAGCTACTCCATAAGAGCATGCACCCAACTATCACTTACAAATCATGATCTTTCACAGGTGCTTCTCAAGGCCCAAAGTAGTTAGATCCCGGCAATTTTGGGTGTATGTTCCCTGTTTGGACACCACCCCTGTTCAAGCTGTTTGGAAATGCTTCAGCCACAAAGGCTCAGATGCAGTTTTCCTGTATTTAAACAAGGCTATCAGCTTCCTCAGGCCATTTCTGAATAGGTGGCATGGTTTCACAGGCTAATTTTTTCTTGACAGTACAGTTAGCAGGTTTTTGGTTTTTTTTTTTTTTTTTAATTAGCTTGTAATTGGCATATGGTTTATTTTCATCTACTGGCTTCTTTGGTCACCAACTCTTTGCAAACAATTGCAGAAATGTTTTACAGTCCTTCCCAAGAGACAGAATAATTATTGCACTTTAAAGGTGGTAACACTTTATCCAAAGCCCAAATTCCAGATTTCCTGTGAGAATGGGAAAGATTTGGTATGAAAACCAGCATGTCAGTCTTTCCAACCATCATCAGATCTTTTTCAGAAAGTCAATTCCCCTTTTTTTAATCTGTGGGTGTGCTGAGTAAACTTCAAAATGAAAAGCATGATTCACTGTGTGTGTTTGAAAGCAGACACAGAAACCCTGCTGGCTGCCAGAGAGAGACCACAAGTCACATCCCCCTTCTGTGCCAGAGTTTCACATCTATAAGATGAAAAACAGAATCTGTGAAATGCTTTAGGACCAACAAAAACTGCTCTATCATGTGTAGGTATTAGGTTATTATTCACTATAAGGTGTCTTATTACTCATTGTGTCCCCGGGTACGGCCAATAACCTTACCAGAGGTAAAATAACACAGTGTTGGGAAGTCTGATGGATAGGTCAGGAAAGAGGGATAAAAAGGGAACTGCTCATGCCTATAAATTAAGCAGTGTAAGTACCTCAGCAAGTACTGGGACAATAAAGAGAACTCTCTTGTTTTTGCAAAGAGATACTAGTTCTTCTATCCGATTGATCAGCTAACTTTACAGATAAGTAGTTCATCGTACCAATTAGTCATCTAACTCACACACTGAGTTAGACCAGGATTCAGATTGAAAGATGTCTTTCAAGGCAGGAGTCTATACAATCACAAAGGGGGCACAGAAGAGGTAACCATGACTAGATAGTTTCTATTTTTTATGCTATAAGCAGGTGGCACTCCCAACAAATTATTAGGAAGCATGTTTAGGAAAAAAAAAAAAAACGAAGAAAAAATCTGAACTGTGGAATTCATTTCCACTGGACATCTTAGAGGCCCTAAGCTCAGAAGCAGCTTAGACAAATTCCTAGGAGATTGGTATACCCTCCAGCTTCTGATAATTAACAGCTTAGGGACTACCTGAGCCTATGCATTTGGACCACAATACATAGCAACCCTTCATTAGGCAGAGGATCTCTTGGTATTTATCTCTTTCCCTAAGCGACTGCTGTGGTTCACTGAAACAAAGAACACAAGAAAGTAATGGATTTTTGACATGCAACTATTTTTACTGTCTTGTGTTCCACCCTTAGCAATGTCTCTGTGTCCATCATGCCATTTCAGGCACATGATGTTGCAGGTACATTTCTAATAGCCAGGTAATTTTGGCATTTTAACATATACCATAACTGTGCTTGAAGCAAGATAACTACATAATAAAAAAAAGTTGGCTGAATTGTTCACAGAGCATTTCCAAACATCACAGTCTTGCAAGCATCTGAAGGACAGATTCATTTTAAGGGAGCTTAAAAAAAGAAACATTTGTACAGTTTCGCATTTTGATCTTAATGCATCCCATCCATACTAATAAGATAAACTGGAGGTATTTGAGAGAAGAGCAGTTAATATAATAAAAAAGGAACTGGAAAATCCAAAAAGTGTAAAAAACTACTGAAAAATTACATTTGATGTGGTTAATTTCAGACCAAGACCTGTACAGATATAACCCATTCCTACAGACTTTGAAGAGAGAAGATGAGAATGAAAAGAAATCAGAATTTAGTATGTCTTTCTGATCATCCATCTGGGATTGACACTAAAAAAATAAAAAAAACCTGATTTACAATCCTTGGAAATGTGCCAAAGTATTTCTGTACCTGTTATCCCTGATCTGAAAGACAGTACCAGTCTCCTCTTTTATTGACATGATTTAGCAGAGCTGTCAGGAGTAGGCATTAACAGCGGAATGGCCCCCCAGCTTTGGATGATTAAAATAAAGCAGCATTTATTTTTAACTCTCTGAGACAATGGCACTGAAAACAGCCAATCGTGAGAAGCTGGAGTCCTAAAGAGGGGA